AAAAGGACAAATCCTGTGATTATCAATTTGTAAAATGTTATATAATTTTTACAGTTACGTGCACAATTCGGGTTCTTACGATAAAAAAAAAAAAAAAGAGAAATAAATAATTCAATCTGCCATGTTAACTATTTGGATAGGGAATCACTCAATTTGTTTTGTCCTTTGCTTCAATTCCATTCATCGAATGTTTAGCTTGTACACGTCCGTACTTATCTTCTAAACCAGATGGGACAACAAGAGCATCATTTTTTAGCCAAATTCAACAACAATCATTTTTTGAGCCAATTTACAATTTCAAGAGATTAGGATCCTTAATTTGGTTATCTTTTCAATTGTACTTGAGCCTTTCCACGCATCTTCCAGCTTGATCCTATTTAAAAGAACCTTGTTGCTTTTAATTTTGCTGTTAATTAATCAGGGATTAAGATAGTAAAATAATTTCTTGCGGGTGGTTTGGTCCAGCTTTTGAGTTTACTACTAAGATGGGTGTTCTGATTATCTCATTGTCTGTTCTACTGGGAAGCCTTCCTGCCATCAGATTCCTTTTGGAACTGATTACAAAAAAAACCCAAAGAGCTGGTCATGGGTCAACATGGAAAGGCTAAGATAATATATAGCAACTAGTTCTTCACCTGCTCTTTGAACAGATTTGTACGTAGTATGTTGAAAGACTTCAATAACATTGTGGATTAAAGCGTTCTGTGGTATAAATAACTAGTTTAAACGCTAATTGCAAGAAATTGTTGGATTATAATTTAGGGAAAATACCGGTTTTCATCCCCAAACTTTGGGCACAAGACACATTTCGTCCCTCATCTTTCGGGCATGACACATTTGGTGTCTGAATTAACAATTTTTGACCAAATGTCATCCTCAGACAGCAATTTAGCCAACCTTTAACGGACCGTTAAGTAAATGTGGCTATCTGAAGCAAAATTAGGTGAAAAATGACGTTGTCTTCACTTTCCCTTTTTCTTTCACTTCAACAACTTCCTCTGCAAATTTCCGAGACTAAGCTCCTACTGCAAATTTCTCTGAGAGTAAACCCCTCTTCCAATTATAAATATATAATTATAATTATATAATACATATAAATATTACTTATACTAATATTTTATATAATTATAATGTATATTAGATATTAAATCTAATCATTATATAAACTTATATTCATAATAATAAATATAATTATAATTATCTAATTTATTAATATTATATACACATATATATTATAAGGGATAATTTCAGAAACCTCCCCTAAATTAGCTTATGGAAAAATGGGAAAATGGATAATTTATGGAGAAAAGCCATAAAGAACTGGTGTTTTATTGGAGAACTGGTTTATTTTTATTTTATCCGATAAATAAATTTGTTTATGAAAAATGGGTACTCTGTTCTTATAATAGAGGAAAGTCATAAAGAGCTGAAGTTTTATTGGAAAACGAGTTTATTTTTATTTTATTCGATAAATAAATTTATTTATGGAAAAATGGGTACTCTGTTCTTATAATGGAGGAAAACCCTAAAGAGTTAGTCTTTTATAGAAAGTGATACTTTATAGAAAGTGACCGCGATTTGGTTTATGAAATTATCCAAAAAAATTAGAATGAATTTGTTTATTTAATTAAATAATTATTATATATATTTATATAATACATTATATAATTATGCTAATATTATTATAAAATATATAATTATAACTATATATATATATATAAATATTAATTATACTAATATATTATATGATTATAAAGTATATTATATATTAATTATAATTTTTAGTATATATTAGTATATTTATAATAATAAATATAATTATAATTATATAATATATTATTACTATATACACATATATATTATAAATATATGCACATATAATATACATTTATAAATATATATATATATAAATATATTATAGTTATTACCCTAAATATATTAGAGTTATTAGGGTATAGTTATTATAGTTATTACACTAAATATATTATAGTTATTAGGGTATATACCCTAATAATATATTTATATATATATTTATAAATATATATTATATGTGCATATATTTTAATATATATGTGTATATAGTAATAATATATTATATAATTATCTTTATATTTATTATGATAAATATACTTATATATACAAAAAATTATAATTAATATATAATATACTTTATACTCATAAAATATATTAGTATAATTATATAATGCATTATATAAATATATATAAAATAATGATTTCATTAAATAAACAAATTCATTCTAAATTGTTTTTTTGGATAATTTCATAAACCAAATCGCGGTCACTTTTTGTAAAGTATCGCTTTCCATAAAAGACTAGCTCTTTAGGGCTTTCCTCCATTATAAGAACAGAGTATCCATTTTTTCATAAATAAATTTTTTATCGAATAAAATAAAAATAAACTCGTTTTCCAATAAAACTTCAGCTCTTTATGGCTTTCCTCTATTATAAGAACAGAGTACCCATTTTTTCATAAACAAATTTATTTATCGAATAAAATAAAAATAAACCAGTTCTCCAATAAAACACCAGTTCTTTATGGCTTTTCTCTATAAATTATCCATTTTCCCATTTTTCCATAAGCTAATTTAGGGGAGGTTTATGAAATTATCCCTTATAATATAATGTGTATATAATATCAATAAATTATATAATTATAATTATATTTATTATTATGAATATAAGGTTATATAATGATTAAATTTAATATCTAATATACATTATAATTATATAAAATATTAGTATAAGTAATATTTATATGTATTATATATTTATAATTGGAAGAGGGGGTTTACTCTCGGAGAAATTTGCAGTAGGAGCTTAGTCTTGGAAATTTGCAGAGGAAGTGAAGATCATTTTCCACCTGATTTTGCTTCAGTTAGCCACATTTACTTAACGGTCCGTTAAAGGTTGGTTAAATTGCCGTCTGAGGATGACATTTGGTCAAAAATTGTTAATTCAGACACCAAATGTATCATGCCCAAAAGATGAGGGACGAAATGTGTCTTGTGCCTAAAGTCTGGGGATGAAAACCGGTATTTTTCCTATAATTTATGACATGAAACACCAATCATGACCAAAATCACACCACTCAACCCAAAGTTTTGTTTCGAGATGAAAAGGCAAAAATTAAGAGTGATCATAAAATTTTGTTTCGCTATTAAAAAAAGATATCATATCTGATTTCTTTTTTCTATCCAAAATTTTCTTGCATTTTGTGTCATCAAAATAATTTTTAAAAAACGTATTCTTTATTAGTTGCACAGAGGTAGAGTGTTTTTAAAACAATCAATTTTAGAGGCTGCATTGGAGAATCAAACAGTTTCTAATAATGGCATAAATACTTTGTAGTAATGATTAAGATAAGTAGAATTTGACATCAAACTCCATAGAGCACATCACATAACCAAAATCTATAGAGTACCTAACTCATATTGACATTGCTATCGTAAAATTCGAATTCGAAACATCAAATAATGGCTTTAATTTATACTAGTCTAAGAAACAAAGTAGACATTCTACACTCGAAATTCTTTTTTTTTTTAAAGGAGTTAAACATGCATTTGCATATGAGGTTCAATTAGGTTGAGGAGACTCCGAGTCTTGTATTTTCACTTTTGAGCTCGGCATGATAACTGAATCGAGCTATTTGAATTCAAATCGATTTTGGTCATCGCAAGCAAGCGGAATTGATCCATTTATAGCAATAAGATCATTAAAAAATGATCAATATATTCTATTTGAGTTTAATGTCTAAAACCACTCATTTACAAATTAATGGTGGCTTATAAAATCTTTTCTACACAATAAAGAACATTATTCTTGGCTTAATGGCTTTTTGACTCCTATTTATATTATAATTATTATGGTGTCAGTTTGGATTGAAACAAATTTTGGGGCGTAGGTCCGTAAATATGAATATTTCGCATAAAACACACTACAAATATAGTTTATGAACCTTTATTAAGAGGAGAAGGCTGCACTTAATCTGTTAGTCTAATCGGAATTATATATATATATTGTAAATGGGAAATCTCGAACCCGATTTTTATATAATTATTGGATGGAAGCATCCTTCAAATCTCCATTTTGTCTTTAGCGGTAGTGGGGTGTAATTTGGAATGTAAAAATTATACTAATGACTTCGTAGGAGTCAAAGTTGATTTGAATTGGATTTTCTAATTATAAAATATTAAGAAATCGGAAAGTATAAATATGTAGATTTAGACATCAAATTATCCAATCTTAATAAAGGTATAATAATTGTCTGCTACATATCTTTGTGTATTTCTTTCAAGTCATTTTTAATTCCTTTTTTTTGTTTTTATCAATTTCTAAAATTGCACCCATTGTGTACATCCTTCTTCTACTATTGTTTATAGAAACCGTGGCCATAGAAGTTACCAATTGCAAGGAAAGTGACACTCGCAGTCTAAAATTAGTCTTTGGTGCTCCAACAATACTTTTAAATATTTTATGAACTTCTCTTTAAAATTCCTTGGAGTGGTTTATCTTTTGTTGGTGGACATGATATGGGTAGCGATATCCGCGAGATGAAAATTTGTATAGGAGTTAGGGGTGAGTTTCACTTGCTATACAGTAATGGGGATCTCACAAACTTATACTGCAGTGATGTAATGAAAAATGACAATTCAAACAGGCTATAACATATTCGATCACTTTTTTATGTACAGTTAGTGTATAATCTTTTTTTACATTAATAGATTTAGATCATATCATGTAACTTAAATTCAGATTTAAAATTCAAATTATACATATGTGAGCATATATTCAAAACTGATTGTGACAAAAATCACTATATTATCAGTGTATAAAAACTTAATCTAATATTTTGACTTACGAAGTTTATGAAGTTGTGTTATGAGTTACGTGAACGAACTAGAGGTCAATTTGGATAGATGAGAGAGCATCACCGAAAATTACATTGGCAAGTTCAAGGACCAAATTGGAGCCTATAGAAGATGAGGAACGAGATTGCTGACTTTCTTTCTCTCGGAACCATCAAAAGGTGATTTTTCTCTAACGTAGATGATGATTTTCTGGGCCAAATTTCCCTGCTCAGAAAAAGGATCAGACACCTGCTGGGAGTCGGGGAGCTTTTGTCACAGGGCCAGCAAAACAACAGGCCTCCCCTGCCTTCTGGTTTACTCCAGAAGAAGGATTCTGTTACTGTTGGATTAGTCAATGAGTTGGACTTCCTTTTGAATCGGATTCTTCAATCGAAATTGGATTCTTTTTTCCCCAACGTCATTTCCGTGGTGGGCATTGGCAGCTTGGGGAAGACAACCCTTGTGAGGTGATTATATAACCATGAGTCATTGCGTCATCATTTTGAAGCTTTTGCCTGGGTTTCATTGGGCAGTTCGGCACAGCGCGACTTTGACCAATTGTGGGGAGCTTTAGGTTCCATTCTTAAGCAACTTGTACCGACCGTCAACGAGATGTTTAGAAACTGTTCTATTATGGGCATCACCATCAACATTCACAGCCTACTGGCTTCTGCAAAATGCTTGGTGGTTATTGATGATTTGTGGTCACTAGATTACCTAGACTGGCTAAGCAGTTTTTTAGGAATTAGGGAAACAGCTAGTAAATTAGTAGCCAGCACTCGGTTTCAGGAATTAGCAACATCCAATCCATCGATTGAACTTTTCAAGTTGAGGCACCTGACTGAAGAGGAAAGTTTGGAGCTCCTTGTTCGCAGAGTATACGTGAATATCCCTAAAGGTCAGTCAGTTGTGTCCATTATCATTATTTTCATAAAGTCTTGCCATCATTTTTATGTTACGCAGACGTGCAATTGATTTTTTAGATGCTGTGAAATTTAAATTTTTGACATTATTTATCTGGATGTGTTTGCATTTTGATGTGCAACAAAAATGCGCTATCATACTTTTAGTTGTGGAAAAGATTCAAATCTTTAATAACACAGTCCGGATTTTTCATTTGATGCTTTCCCAAATTCAGTTAAGATTTTGTTGCTATATTTTTATGGTTGTGGATTTTGTGGCCGTTTCTCAATGCAAATTGTTTTATTTCTTCTGAATTTTTATTAGTTATTCTCATGTTCTTTCTTGTATTTCCTTTCATGGTGTTATTTATTTGCAGCAATAGCTAAGTTTTTCGTTGTCTGATTTGGAAGATTATGTCTGTTTGAATTGACTTCTCCCCTTTGCTAACAGATCCGCAGTTGCACGGGATGTTAGAATTTATTGTGAAAAGATGCAAAGGCATACCGTTGGCCATTAATGTGCTTGGAAGCTTGTTGGCAACAAAGCAGACATCAGGTGAGTGGAAGGCAGCTCTTCGTGCTATGGAGTTGTGCAACGTCCATCAAGAAGATAGTTTGCAGCTGTTAGAACTGGAAATTTTATCTTTATGTTATGACGACATGCCACACCATTTAAAGCTTTTGTTTCCTTTATTTGGGCCTCTTCTCTGAGCAACCAAGCATAGAGGTGGAAACACTATACCAGCTGTGGATGGCTGAAGGTTTTGTACAACCAAATAACGAAGAATCTGCAATAACAACGGCGGATGCAGCGGATCAGTATCTGGATGAATTAGCAACCAGAGGTTTTGTTGACGTTAATGAAGCTGAGGTTCCGAATAGCAGCGATTCAAATCTTGTCGTCTGCATGGCATGATGTTAGACTTGTGTCTTCATAAGGCCAAACAAGAAATATTTTCCGAGGTCATAAGATCATGTCAGAGAAACGAAATCAACAAGTCTTCCACTCCATTCGGCAACATATGTAGACTTTCCATGAACGTTGGTGGGGGTTATCAGAGTGAAGATGTAATGGCCGTCTTGCTGAAAAATGCTGACATGCATCTTGGTTATCTTAGGTCTCTTCTTCTCTTAAAATTACCCCGACGTTTGGAGTTTGTAGAATTTTCGAAGTCAATAAATTTGAAATTGTTCCTCTTGCTTAGAGTCTTAAGATTTGATGGTTTTGACCTACGAGAGAGCAAATGTGTTGGAGAAGTTGGGAAATTGACATCTCTGCGATACCTAAGCTTCAGAGGCTGTCGCCTAAACAACCTGCCATTAAGTCTTGGTGAGCTGTTGAACTTGCAAACACTTGATTTGCGGGTAGTAATAGATCGGATGGTTACCATACCAAACATCATCTGGAAGTTAAAAAGGTTGCGGCATCTTTATTTGCCTTCGAATTTAATGCTCGAGAGGATGATAAGTTGAATAGTTTGGTGAACTTGGAGATGCTTGAAAACTTTGATACCAGTGCATGCAGCATAACCGATCTTCTCTTCTTGACGAGTCTTCGGAACCTAGCAGCATCTGTTAAAGGGAATGCTAAGTCCCTGCAGGGCATCATCAAACGCATAAATATGAACCAGAATTGCTTATGCCAAACCTCTATTCGAGTAAGATGTTTCAACGCATTTACTGCAGAAGAAAGGGATTTGTCAATAAGCCAGCTACTTGATTGTCCCTCCCTTCATACTTTGCAGATCAAGGGATGCAGATACGAATAACTTCATCCATAATTCCTATTGCTCAAAACATTGTAAAACTTAAACAACATTTATCAAAATTTATTACTTATATATACAGCATATTAGGCAGAATTATGAACATTAAAAATGAAAGACATACAACAAACTCTTTCCGGAATTGTGCTAAAATTTTGACCAAAACTAGTTGAAAAACTCCAACACCCATGATGCCATGACTATAATGCATCTTCCTATAAGCAATAATGCATATGGATTCATAAAAGCATTGCCAAAGATTTACGATAAGTCAAAGAAAAAAGCAGCAAAGAGCTAAACGATAACCTGAAGAGTTTGTTAGCCAAACAGAGAAGCAGCATAGAAGAACTCTGCAGGACTAGGCCATCTTAGTGCTAAATACTAACCAGTATAATCTCATGTATAGCATAATTGACATCATAAGCTGAGGAAGAAAGATTGATTCATGCAAATTCCATTCATGTTATAACCAAAGAATATACTCTAGTTAAAATAACAACAGAAAAAATCAAATCTTTTGCAAAGGGTTTGCATAATAACACACCCACTAATTTACTTGAAACAATTTTACTTGTGAAACACACAAATGTAGATAAAAATCAGAAAGCGCATCTAAAATAACACCCACTAAAGTGTGATTTTTTTTGTGGAACACAAAAATTGAAAAACCCTTCTAACATGCTCAAATAAAATTACGCAGGTTGCCTGGTAACAGACGTACTCATTTACTTGAAAAAAGAAAAAAAAAGATGATAAAGATAAAAAAAACCCATCAACATGTTCTTAGAATAAAAAAACCAGATCTTTTAACTCAAAGAAAATGAAGAATATTTGTACGTACCTCCCACTACCACTAGCAGGCGGCAGCTAAACGAAAAGGTTGGCTTTGTGAAGTAGTGAAGAACGATAGCAAGATCAACTCCCTTTCTTGAGCAAGTATTCTGTAGAACCAGAAGATTTTGAGTGATTTTAAGGTTTAAGTGAGGGATTTTGAGTTTTAGCTTGCTGGCGAGTGAGTGTGTGAAAGTGTGTGTGTGTGTGTGTGTGTGTGTGTAGGAGTGGGAGAGGAAGGACGGAGTGGTGACCAAGAAAGAAATGAGGAGTCTATCGTTGGTGGTGGAGGACTGCATCGTTGTTTCAAGAAAGGTGATAATATATTTACCATATCCATTGCTAGTTAATAAGGGTCAAATAGCTGACACAAATAAAAGTGTTTTTGTTTGTTACCTCCAAAGTTTAAAAAGAAAAGCTGATCTACTGTTTGACCAATTGTTGTTTCTTTCCTATTTACTATTTAGTTCTATTTTTTTTTAAAAAAAAAATTGAACTTCCTTTTGATTTTCTGGTGCGGATTTTATGTCACATGCTTGATGCAACAAACATAAGTTGAAATCTTTGTAATATGCCTTAGAATGGAAATTTGGTATCCGCTGGAATAGTTAGTGAATAATACTTCCTCCGTCCCATTAAAAATATCATTTTTTTTATTTTAGAATGTTCCAAAATATTTGTTTGTCTTGTTAGAAAAAGCAAAACACCTATTAGTATCTTTTTCCAATATAATTCTTCTTTCTAATCATATATATGTTACATTCAAATTTATTATCCAAACATTTCACAATTACAAACCGCTTCACTTCACCGGTTAGTTGAAAATTTTTTTTTATATTATCCTAATTTTTTTTATCATATCTGATTTCTTTTTTCTATCCAAAATTTTCTTGCATTTTGTGTCATCAAAATAATTTTTAAAAAACGTATTCTTTATTAGTTGCACAGAGGTAGAGTGTTTTTAAAACAATCAATTTTAGAGGCTGCATTGGAGAATCAAACAGTTTCTAATAATGGCATAAATACTTTGTAGTAATGATTAAGATAAGTAGAATTTGACATCAAACTCCATAGAGCACATCACATAACCAAAATCTATAGAGTACCTAACTCATATTGACATTGCTATCGTAAAATTCGAATTCGAAACATCAAATAATGGCTTTAATTTATACTAGTCTAAGAAACAAAGTAGACATTCTACACTCGAAATTCTTTTTTTTTTTAAAGGAGTTAAACATGCATTTGCATATGAGGTTCAATTAGGTTGAGGAGACTCCGAGTCTTGTATTTTCACTTTTGAGCTCGGCATGATAACTGAATCGAGCTATTTGAATTCAAATCGATTTTGGTCATCGCAAGCAAGCGGAATTGATCCATTTATAGCAATAAGATCATTAAAAAATGATCAATATATTCTATTTGAGTTTAATGTCTAAAACCACTCATTTACAAATTAATGGTGGCTTATAAAATCTTTTCTACACAATAAAGAACATTATTCTTGGCTTAATGGCTTTTTGACTCCTATTTATATTATAATTATTATGGTGTCAGTTTGGATTGAAACAAATTTTGGGGCGTAGGTCCGTAAATATGAATATTTCGCATAAAACACACTACAAATATAGTTTATGAACCTTTATTAAGAGGAGAAGGCTGCACTTAATCTGTTAGTCTAATCGGAATTATATATATATATTGTAAATGGGAAATCTCGAACCCGATTTTTATATAATTATTGGATGGAAGCATCCTTCAAATCTCCATTTTGTCTTTAGCGGTAGTGGGGTGTAATTTGGAATGTAAAAATTATACTAATGACTTCGTAGGAGTCAAAGTTGATTTGAATTGGATTTTCTAATTATAAAATATTAAGAAATCGGAAAGTATAAATATGTAGATTTAGACATCAAATTATCCAATCTTAATAAAGGTATAATAATTGTCTGCTACATATCTTTGTGTATTTCTTTCAAGTCATTTTTAATTCCTTTTTTTTGTTTTTATCAATTTCTAAAATTGCACCCATTGTGTACATCCTTCTTCTACTATTGTTTATAGAAACCGTGGCCATAGAAGTTACCAATTGCAAGGAAAGTGACACTCGCAGTCTAAAATTAGTCTTTGGTGCTCCAACAATACTTTTAAATATTTTATGAACTTCTCTTTAAAATTCCTTGGAGTGGTTTATCTTTTGTTGGTGGACATGATATGGGTAGCGATATCCGCGAGATGAAAATTTGTATAGGAGTTAGGGGTGAGTTTCACTTGCTATACAGTAATGGGGATCTCACAAACTTATACTGCAGTGATGTAATGAAAAATGACAATTCAAACAGGCTATAACATATTCGATCACTTTTTTATGTACAGTTAGTGTATAATCTTTTTTTACATTAATAGATTTAGATCATATCATGTAACTTAAATTCAGATTTAAAATTCAAATTATACATATGTGAGCATATATTCAAAACTGATTGTGACAAAAATCACTATATTATCAGTGTATAAAAACTTAATCTAATATTTTGACTTACGAAGTTTATGAAGTTGTGTTATGAGTTACGTGAACGAACTAGAGGTCAATTTGGACAGATGAGAGAGCATCACCGAAAATTACATTGGCAAGTTCAAGGACCAAATTGGAGCCTATAGAAGATGAGGAACGAGATTGCTGACTTTCTTTCTCTCGGAACCATCAAAAGGTGATTTTTCTCTAACGTAGATGATGATTTTCTGGGCCAAATTTCCCTGCTCAGAAAAAGGATCAGACACCTGCTGGGAGTCGGGGAGCTTTTGTCACAGGGCCAGCAAAACAACAGGCCTCCCCTGCCTTCTGGTTTACTCCAGAAGAAGGATTCTGTTACTGTTGGATTAGTCAATGAGTTGGACTTCCTTTTGAATCGGATTCTTCAATCGAAATTGGATTCTTTTTTCCCCAACGTCATTTCCGTGGTGGGCATTGGCAGCTTGGGGAAGACAACCCTTGTGAGGTGATTATATAACCATGAGTCATTGCGTCATCATTTTGAAGCTTTTGCCTGGGTTTCATTGGGCAGTTCGGCACAGCGCGACTTTGACCAATTGTGGGGAGCTTTAGGTTCCATTCTTAAGCAACTTGTACCGACCGTCAACGAGATGTTTAGAAACTGTTCTATTATGGGCATCACCATCAACATTCACAGCCTACTGGCTTCTGCAAAATGCTTGGTGGTTATTGATGATTTGTGGTCACTAGATTACCTAGACTGGCTAAGCAGTTTTTTAGGAATTAGGGAAACAGCTAGTAAATTAGTAGCCAGCACTCGGTTTCAGGAATTAGCAACATCCAATCCATCGATTGAACTTTTCAAGTTGAGGCACCTGACTGAAGAGGAAAGTTTGGAGCTCCTTGTTCGCAGAGTATACGTGAATATCCCTAAAGGTCAGTCAGTTGTGTCCATTATCATTATTTTCATAAAGTCTTGCCATCATTTTTATGTTACGCAGACGTGCAATTGATTTTTTAGATGCTGTGAAATTTAAATTTTTGACATTATTTATCTGGATGTGTTTGCATTTTGATGTGCAACAAAAATGCGCTATCATACTTTTAGTTGTGGAAAAGATTCAAATCTTTAATAACACAGTCCGGATTTTTCATTTGATGCTTTCCCAAATTCAGTTAAGATTTTGTTGCTATATTTTTATGGTTGTGGATTTTGTGGCCGTTTCTCAATGCAAATTGTTTTATTTCTTCTGAATTTTTATTAGTTATTCTCATGTTCTTTCTTGTATTTCCTTTCATGGTGTTATTTATTTGCAGCAATAGCTAAGTTTTTCGTTGTCTGATTTGGAAGATTATGTCTGTTTGAATTGACTTCTCCCCTTTGCTAACAGATCCGCAGTTGCACGGGATGTTAGAATTTATTGTGAAAAGATGCAAAGGCATACCGTTGGCCATTAATGTGCTTGGAAGCTTGTTGGCAACAAAGCAGACATCAGGTGAGTGGAAGGCAGCTCTTCGTGCTATGGAGTTGTGCAACGTCCATCAAGAAGATAGTTTGCAGCTGTTAGAACTGGAAATTTTATCTTTATGTTATGACGACATGCCACACCATTTAAAGCTTTTGTTTCCTTTATTTGGGCCTCTTCTCTGAGCAACCAAGCATAGAGGTGGAAACACTATACCAGCTGTGGATGGCTGAAGGTTTTGTACAACCAAATAACGAAGAATCTGCAATAACAACGGCGGATGCAACGGATCAGTATCTGGATGAATTAGCAACCAGAGGTTTTGTTGACGTTAATGAAGCTGAGGTTCCGAATAGCAGACGATTCAAATCTTGTCGTCTGCATGGCATGATGTTAGACTTGTGTCTTCATAAGGCCAAACAAGAAATATTTTCCGAGGTCATAAGATCATGTCAGAGAAACGAAATCAACAAGTCTTCCACTCCATTCGGCAACATACGTAGACTTTCCATGAACGTTGGTGGGGGTTATCAGAGTGAAGATGTAATGGCCGTCTTGCTGAAAAATGCTGACATGCATCTTGGTTATCTTAGGTCTCTTCTTCTCTTAAAATTACCCCGACGTTTGGAGTTTGTAGAATTTTCGAAGTCAATAAATTTGAAATTGTTCCTCTTGCTTAGAGTCTTAAGATTTGATGGTTTTGACCTACGAGAGAGCAAATGTGTTGGAGAAGTTGGGAAATTGACATCTCTGCAATACCTAAGCTTCAGAGGCTGTCGCCTAAACAACCTGCCATTAAGTCTTGGTGAGCTGTTGAACTTGCAAACACTTGATTTGCGGGTAGTAATAGATCGGATGGTTACCATACCAAACATCATCTGGAAATTAAAAAGGTTGCGGCATCTTTATTTGCCTTCGAAATTTAATGATCGAGAGGATGATAAGTTGAATAGTTTGGTGAACTTGGAGATGCTTGAAAACTTTGATACCAGTGCATGCAGCATAACCGATCTTCTCTTCTTGACGAGTCTTCGGAACCTAGCAGCATCTGTTAAAGGGAATGCTAAGTCCCTGCAGGGCATCATCAAACGCATAAATATGAACCAGAATTGCTTATGCCAAACCTCTATTCGAGTAAGATGTTTCAACGCATTTACTGCAGAAGAAAGGGATTTGTCAATAAGCCAGCTACTTGATTGTCCCTCCCCTCATACTTTGCAGATCAAGGGATGCAGATACGAATAACTTCATCCATAATTCCTATTGCTCAAAACATTGTAAAACTTAAACAACATTTATCAAAATTTATTACTTATATATACAGCATATTAGGCAGAATTATGAACATTAAAAATGAAAGACATACAACAAACTCTTTCCGGAATTGTGCTAAAATTTTGACCAAAACTAGTTGAAAAACTCCAACACCCATGATGCCATGACTATAATGCATCTTCCTATAAGCAATAATGCATATGGATTCATAAAAGCATTGCCAAAGATTTACGATAAGTCAAAGAAAAAAGCAGCAAAGAGCTAAACGATAACCTGAAGAGTTTGTTAGCCAAACAGAGAAGCAGCATAGAAGAACTCTGCAGGACTAGGCCATCTTAGTGCTAAATACTAACCAGTATAATCTCATGTATAGCATAATTGACATCATAAGCTGAGGAAGAAAGATTGATTCATGCAAATTCCATTCATGTTATAACCAAAGAATATACTCTAGTTAAAATAACAACAGAAAAAATCAAATCTTTTGCAAAGGGTTTGCATAATAACACACCCACTAATTTACTTGAAACAATTTTACTTGTGAAACACACAAATGTAGATAAAAATCAGAAAGCGCATCTAAAATAACACCCACTAAAGTGTGATTTTTTTTGTGGAACACAAAAATTGAAAAACCCTTCTAACATGCTCAAATAAAATTACGCAGGTTGCCTGGTAACAGACGTACTCATTTACTTGAAAAAAGAAAAAAAAAGATGATAAAGATAAAAAAAAACCCATCAACATGTTCTTAGAATAAAAAAACCAGATCTTTTAACTCAAAGAAAATGAAGAATATTTGTACGTACCACCCACTACCACTAGCAGGCGGCAGCTAAACGAAAAGGTTGGCTTTGTGAAGTAGTGAAGAACGATAGCAAGATCAACTCCCTTTCTTGAGCAAGTATTCTGTAGAACCAGAAGATTTTGAGTGATTTTAAGGTTTAAGTGAGGGATTTTGAGTTTTAGCTTGCTGGCGAGTGAGTGTGTGAAAGTGTGTGTGTGTGTGTGTGTGTGTGTGTAGGAGTGGGAGAGGAAGGACGGAGTGGTGACCAAGAAAGAAATGAGGAGTCTATCGTTGGTGGTGGAGGACTGCATCGTTGTTTCAAGAAAGGTGATAATATATTTACCATATCCATTGCTAGTTAATAAGGGTCAAATAGCTGACACAAATAAAAGTGTTTTTGTTTGTTACCTCCAAAGTTTAAAAAGAAAAGCTGATCTACTGTTTGACCAATTGTTGTTTCTTTCCTATTTACTATTTAGTTCTATTTTTTTTTAAAAAAAAAATTGAACTTCCTTTTGATTTTCTGGTGCGGATTTTATGTCACATGCTTGATGCAACAAACATAAGTTGAAATCTTTGTAATATGCCTTAGAATGGAAATTTGGTATCCGCTGGAATAGTTAGTGAATAATACTTCCTCCGTCCCATTAAAAATATCATTTTTTTTATTTTAGAATGTTCCAAAATATTTGTTTGTCTTGTTAGAAAAAGCAAAACACCTATTAGTATCTTTTTCCAATATAATTCTTCTTTCTAATCATATATATGTTACATTCAAATTTATTATCCAAACATTTCACAATTACAAACCGCTTCACTTCACCGGTTAGTTGAAAATTTTTTTTTATATTATCCTAATTTTTTTTATCATATCTGATTTCTTTTTTCTATCCAAAATTTTCTTGCATTTTGTGTCATCAAAATAATTTTTAAAAAACGTATTCTTTATTAGTTGCACAGAGGTAGAGTGTTTTTAAAACAATCAATTTTAGAGGCTGCATTGGAGAATCAAACAGTTTCTAATAATGGCATAAATACTTTGTAGTAATGATTAAGATAAGTAGAATTTGACATCAAACTCCATAGAGCACATAACATAACCAAAATCTATAGAGTACCTAACTCATATTGACATTGCTATCGTAAAATTCGAATTCGAAACATCAAATAATGGATTTAATTTATACTAGTCTGAGAAAAAAGTAGACATTCTATGCTTGAAATTCTTTTTTTTTAAAAGGAGTTATACCTGCATTTGCATATGAGGTTCAATTAGGTTGAGGAGACTCCGAGTCTTGTATTTTCAATTTTGAGCTCAGCTTGATAACCGAATAGAGGTATTTAAATTCAAATCGATTTTGGTCATCGCAAGCAAGCAGAATTGATCCATTTATACCAATAAGATCATTAAAAAATGATCAATATATTTTGTTTGAATTTGATGTCTAAAACCACTCATTTACAAATTAATGGTGGCTTATAAAATCTTTTCTACACAATAGAAAACATTTTTCTTGGCTTAATGGCTTTTTGACTCCTATTTATATTATAATTATTATGGTGTCAGTTTGGATTGAAACAAATTTTCGGGCGTAGGTCCGTAAAGATGAATATTTCGCATAAAACACACTACAAATATAGTTTATGAACCTTTATTAAGAGGAGAAGGCTGCACTTAATCTGTTAGTCTAATCGGAATTATATATATATATTGTAAACGGGAAATCTCGAACCCGACTTTTATATAATTATTGGATGGAAGCATCCTTCAAATCTCCATTTTGTCTTTAGTGGTAGTGGGGTGTAATTTGGAATGTAAAAATTATACTAATGACTTCGTAGGAGTCAAAGTTGATTTGAATTGGATTTTCTAATTATAAAATATTAAGAAATCGAAAAGTATAAATATGTAGATTTATACATCAAATTATCCAATCTTAATAAAGGTATAATAATTATCTGCTGCATATCGTTGTGTATTTCTTTCAAGTCATTTTTAATTCCTCTTTTTTGCTTTTATCAATTTCTAAAATTGCACCCATTGTGTGCATTCTTCTTCAACTGTTGTTTATAGAAACCATGGCCATAGAAGTTACCAATTGCAAGGAAAGTGACACTCGCAGTCTAAAATTAGTCTTTTGTGCTCCAACAATGATTTTAAATATTTTATGAACTTCTCTTTAAAAATTTCCTGGAGTGGTTTATCTTTTGTTGGTGGACACGATATGGGTAGCGATGTCCACGAGATAAAAATTTGTATAGGAGTTAGGGGTAAGTTTCACTTGCCGTACAGTAATGGGGATCTCACAAAATTATATTGCAGTGATGTGATGAAAAATGACAATTCAAACAGGCTATAACATTTTCGATCACTTTTTTATGTACAGTTAGCGTATGATCTTTTTTTACATTAATAGATTTAGATCATATCATGTAACTTAAATTCAGATTCAAAATTCAAATTATACATATGTGAGCATTTATTCAAAACTGATTGTGTCAAAAATCACTATATTATCGGTGTTTAAAAACTTAATCTAATATTTTGACTTACGAAGTTTATGAAATTGTGTTATGTGTTACGTGAACGAACTCGAGGTCAATTTGGATAGATGAGAGAGCATCACCTAAAATTACAGTGGCAAGTTCAAGGACCAAATTGGAATCTATAGAAGATGAGGAACGAAATAGAACCTTTGCCAGAAGTTCAGGGATGCTATTAGTAATTTACCCAGAAATGGTCGCCCGCTCTCATCCTTTACGCTTCCAAACAAAATAAATTCATAAGTAATGAAAAAGCCTGTTTGTCGAAATCGACTAATTTATGTTCCCAATCCTAAGATAATTTGGAAAAACTAAATGGGTCTTAGAATCAAAGGTCACTTGGTGGCTGGGTTGGGGAGATCAACTGATCGAACTCAACTGAAGGATGAGCATCCCGTCGGCCTCTGTATTAGTCAAAGACGTCGTTAATTTACTGCACGAGAAAGGAGAAAAATACTCGGGGAAAGCAGCAAGCGATGAAATAAACGGGCTTGTTTCAGAACTATCTTTGCTCCAGAAAATAGTGGAAGAAATTGACAAGGAACAACGAATTCATGATTGGTTGACAGAAGTAGAGAAAACCTGTTATGATGTGGAAAATATAATGGTTGAAACCCAAAACAAGAATGCTGACTTTCTTTTTCTCGGAACCATCAAAAGGTGGTTTTTCTCTGATGTAGATGATGATTTTCCGAGGCAAATTTCCCTACTCAGAAAAAGGATCAGACACCTGCTGGAAGTCGGGGAGCTTTTGTCACAGGACCAGCAAAACAACAGGCCTCCCCTACCTTCTGGTTTACTCCAGAAAAAGGATTCTGTTGCTGTTGGATTATTCAATGAGTTGGACTTCCTTTTGAATCGGATTCTTGAATCGAAATCGGATTCTTTTTCCCCCAACATAATTTCTGTGGTGGGCATTGGCGGCTTGGGGAAGACAACCCTTGTGAGGTGATTATATAACCATGAGTCATTGCGTCATCATTTTGAAGCTTTTGCCTGGGTTTCATTGGGCAGTTCGGCACAGCGCGACTTTGACCAATTGTGGGGAGCTTTAGGTTCCATTATTGAGCAACTTGTACCGGCCGCCAACGAGATGTTGAGAAACTGTTCTATTATGGGCATCACCGTCAACATTCGCAGCCTACTGGCTTCTGCAAAATGCTTAGTGGTTATTCATGATTTGTGGTCACTGGATTACCTAGACTGGCTAAGCAGTTGTTTAGGAATTAGGGAAACAACTAGTAAATTAGTAGCCACCACTCGGTTTCAGGAATTAGCAACATCTAATCCATCGATTGAACTTTTCAAGTTGAGGCACCTAACTGAAGAGGAAAGTTTGGAGCTCCTTGTTCACAGAGTATGCGTGAATATCCCTGAAGGTCAGTCAGTTGTGTCCATTATCATTATTTTCATAAATTCTTGCCGTCATTTTTATGTTACGGAGATGTGCAATCGATTTTTTAGATGCCGTGAAGTTTAAATTTTTGACATTATTTATCTGGATGTGTTTGCATTTTGATGTGCCACAAAAATGCGCTATCATACATTTAGTTATGGAAAAGATTCAAGTCTTTAATAACACAGTCCGAATTTTTCATTTGATGCTTTCCCAAATTCAGTTAAGATTTTGTTGCTATATTTTTATGGTTGTGGATTTTGTGGCCGTTTCTCAATGCATATTGTCTTATTTCCTCTGAATTTTTATTAGTTATTCTCATGTTCTTTCTTGTATTTCCTTTCATGGTGTTATTTATTTGCAGCAATAGCTAAGTTTTTCGTTGTCTGATTTGGAGGATTATGTCTGTTTGAATTGATTTCTCCCCTTTGCTAACAGATTCACAGTAGCACGGGATGCTAGAATTTATTGTGAAAAGATGCAAAGGCATACCGTTGGCCATTAATGTGCTTGGAAGCTTGTTGGCAACAAAACAGGCATCAGGTGAGTGGAAGGCAGCTCTTCGTGCTATGGAGTTGTGCAACGTCCATCAAGAAGATAGTTTGCAACTGTGAGAACTGGAAATTTTATCTTTATGTTATGACGACATGCCACACCATTTAAAGCTTTTGTTTCCTTTATTTGGGCCTCTTCTCTGAGCAACCAAGCATAGAGGTGGAAACACTATACCAGCTGTGGATGGCTGAAGGCTTTGTACAACCGAACAACGAAGAATCTGCAATAACAATGATGGATGCAGCGGAGCAGTATCTGGATTAATTAGCAACCAGTGGTTTTGTTGAGGTTAATAAAGCTTTCATTCCGAATAGCAAACGGTTCAAATCTTGTCGTCTGCATGGCATGATGTTAGACTTGTGTCTTCACAAGGCCAAACAAGAAATATTTTCCGAGGTCATAAGATCATGTCAAAGAAACAAAATCAACAAGTCTTCCACTCCATTCGGCAACATACGTAGACTTTCCATGAACGTTGGTGGGGGTTATCAAAGTGAAGATGTAATGGCCGTCTTGCTGAAAAATGCTGACATGCATCTTGGTTATCTTAGGTCTCTTCTTCTCTTAAAATTACCCCGACGTTTGGAGTTTGTAGAAATTTCGGAGTCAATAAACTTGAAGTTGTTCCTCTTGCTTAGAGTCTTAAGATTTGATAGTTTTGACCTATGAGAGAGCAAATTTGTTGGAGAATTTGGGAAATTGACATCTCTGCAATACCTAAGCTTCAGAAACTGTCGCCTAAACATCCTGCCATTAAGTCTTGGTGAGTTGTTGCACTTGCAAACACTTGAATTGCGGGTAGTAATAGATCGGATGGTTACCATACCAAACATCATCTGGAAGTCAAAAAGTTTGCGGCATCTTTATTTGCCTTCGAAATGTAATGCTCGAGAGGATGATAAGTTGCGTCTGGATAGTTTGGTGAACTTGGAGACGCTTGAAAACTTTGATACCAGTGCATGCAGCACAACCGATCTTCTCTTCTTGACGAGTCTTCGACACCTAACAGCATATGTTAAAGGGAATGCTAAGTCCCTGCAGGGCACCATCAAACGCATAAATATGAACTAGAATTGCTTATGCCAAACCTCTATTTGTGTAAGATGTTTCGATGCATTTACTGCTAAAGAAAGGGATTTGTCAATGAGCCAACTACTTGATTGTCCCTCCCTTCCTACTTTGCAAATCAAGGGATGCAGATATGAATAACTTCATCCATAATTCCTATTGCACAAAACATTGAAAAACTTGAACAACATTTATCAAAATTTATTACTTATATATACAGCATATTTGGCAGAATTATGAACATTAAAAGTGAAAGACATACAACAAACTCTTTCCGAAATTGTGCTAAAATTTTGACCAAAACTAGTTGAAAAACTCCAACACCCATGATGCCATGACTATAATCATCTTCCTATAAGCAATAATGCTCCACAGAGATTCATAAAAACATTGCCAAAGATTTACGATAAGCCAATGAAAAAAGTAGCAAAGAGCTAAACGATAACTTCAAGAGTTTGTTAGCCAAACAGAGAAGCAACATAGAAGAACTTTGCAGGACTGGGCCATTTTAGTGCTAAATACTAACCAGTATAATCTCATTTATAGTATAATTGACATCATAAGTTGAGTAAGAAAGATTGATTCATGTAAATTCCATTCATGTTACAACCAAAGAACGTACTCTTGTTAAAATACCAACAGAAAAAATCAAATCTTTTGCAAAGGGTTTGCATAATAACACACCCACTAATTTACTTGAAACAATTTTACTTGTGAAACACACAAATGTAGATAAAAATCAGAAAGTGCATCTAAAATAACACCCACTAAAGTGCTATTTTTTTTGTGGAACACAAAAATTGAAAAGCCCTTCTAACATGCTCAAATAAAATTACACAGGTTGCCTGGTAACAGACGTACTCATTTACTTGAAAAAAGAAAAAAAAAGATGATAAAGATAAAAAAAAGCCCATCAAAATGTTCTTAGAATAAAAAAAACCAGATCTTTAAACTCAAAGAAAATGAAGAGTATTTGTACGTACCACCCACTACCACTAGCAAGCGGCAGCTAAACGAAAAGGTTGGCTTTGTGAAGTAGTGAAGGAAGATAGCAAGATCAACTCCCTTTCTTGAGCAAATATTCTGTAGAACCAGAAGATTTTGAGTGATTTTAAGGTTTAAGTGCGGGATTTTGGGAGTGTGTGTGTGTGGGAGTGGGAGAGGAAGGACGTAGTGGTGACCAAGAAAGAAATGAGGAGTCTGTCGTTGGTGGTGAAGGACTGCATCGTTGTTTCAAGAAAGGTGATAATATATTTACCATTTCCATTGCTAGTTAATAGGGGTCAAATAGCTGACACAAATAAAAGTGTTTTTGTTTTTTACCTCCAAAGTTTAAAAAGAAAAGCTAATCTACTGTTTGACCAATTGTTGTTTCTTTCATATTTATTATTTAGTTCTATTTTTTTATTTTTTAAAAATTGAACTTTCTTTTGATTTTTTGGTGCTGGTTTTATGTCAGTCTTTTTTTTTTTTGCCATCTATGTTTTATATCATATGCTTGATGCAACAAACATAAGTTGAAATCTTTGTAATATGCCTTAGAATGGAAATTTGGTATCCGCTGGAATAGTTAGTGTATAATACTTCCTCAGTCCCATTAAAAGTATCATTTTTTTATTTTAGAACGTTCCAAAATATTTGTTTGTCTTGTTGGAAAAGGTAAAACACCTTTTAGTATCTTTTTTCAATATAATTTTTCTTTCTAATCATATATATGTTACATTCAATTTTAAATTTTGAATTTATGGAGGTAAAACATAATATTAACTAAAAGTCAAGATACTGTTAGCTTCTTACACTAGAACAAGTTTTCAATTTCCATTTCTAAATTTTGGAACCATGGTTTCTCTAATCCCTATGCAAGCTCGATTATATAACTACTCATGATTTATATATTTTATGAAGAAAAACATTATTATTGTTTAATATCTAACAAATCTAAAAATTTCGATGTTTTAGTCTCTAGAAGTAAAAACAATCCAGTTTAGACTATGACGTAATTATTGAACACAGATAATCTAAGAAGATGGGCTAAAAACTTGATCACACTTGCTGATCAAATTGAAGAAATAATCCATTTTAGTTTGTTCCAAAATTTTAGACTTGATGTAGTTCCACTATCCATTTTATTCTTGCAATTACAATCCATACGTATCATATAAACCGAAAGACTTAGGTGGTATGTGGTAAGAGGGTTTCGGAACGGAGAATTAGAATAAATCTCATAATTGTTGTTTGGATTACTACTATTGGAATTGAAATTTTGGAATCATATCTAAAAATTTGGAGTTCCCCAATTCCTTAGTAACCTGGACGGTTTTGGACAAAACCCAAGACAGATTTCCATTTCGAAATGGGGCTCATCCCACCACCCATTAAAAAAAATTAATATATAATTATATACACATATACATAATTATATATAATATATTTTAATTATAATATTTTATTATAATTATATATTTTATTACAATATAAGTATAACTATATAATATATTTATTATTATAATAATATATTACTAATAATAAATGTATTTATATTTATATTTATATTTATTATATACACATATATATTATATATTATAAATAGTTATTATAAATATTTAACTAAATATAATTATATTTATATAATATATATTATAAATTTATTAATATTATATAATAATATATTTATATTATTTATAAATGTATATTATATATGCATATAATTATAATATATGTGTATATAATAATATATTATATAATTATTTTTATTTTATTTTATAAATATACTAATTATTATATCTAATATAGAATATATTAGTATAATTAATATTTATATATTTATATTATAATATTTGTATAATTATATTTAATTATATATAATATTTAATCTAATTTGTTACAAACTTATAATAATGATATTAATAGTTATATGTATTATATAATGTATATTAGTATATATAATATAATTGATATTATCAATTATACTAATAATTGTACATGTTTACTAATAGAAATTATTAATTAGTTATACTAAAATTACTAACACATTTATACTAATACATTTAATTAGTGAAAATTTCTTATATCCCATTTTGAATGAGCCAATGAACCAAACATCAACTATAGTAATGATATACATTCCTGGTACAAAACCAAACAGATGTATTGGAATGAGTGACTCCATTCTAAACCCTGGATGAATAATCCTAAATTCGAATCTGATTCCAAAGTGTGAACCAAACGCCACCTTATTATGTGATGCTTGCTTGATAACTTTGTGCATCTCAAGTTATCACAAATGGTTATCTTATTATCCAAACATTTCACAATTACAAACCGCTTAACTTCACTGGTTAGTTGAATTTTTTTTATATTATCCTAATTTTTTTTATAATATCTGATTTCTTTTTTCTATCCAAAATTTTCTTGCATTTTGTGTCATCAAAATAATTTTTGCAAAACATAATCTTTATTAGTTGCACAGAGGTAGAGTGTTTTTAAAACAATCAATTTTGGAGGCTGCATTGGAAAATCAAACAGTTTCTAATAATGGCATAAATACTTTGTAGTAATGATTAAGATAAGTAGAATTTGACATCAAACTTCATAGAGCACATAACATAACCAAAATCTATAGAGTACCTAACTCATATTGACATTGCTATCATAAAATTCGAATTCGAAACATCAAAGAATGGCTTTAATTTATACTAGTCTGAGAAAAAAGTAAACATTCTACGCTCGAAATTCTTTTTTTTTAAAGGAGTTAAACATGCATTTGCATATGAGGTTCAATTAGGTTGAGGAGACTCCGAGTCTTTTATTTTCACTTTTGAGCTCGGCTTGATAACCAAATCGAGCTATTTGAATTCAAATCGATTTTGGTCATCGCAAGCAAGCAGAATTGATCCATTTATAGCAATAAGATCATTAAAAATGATCAATATATTCTGTTTCAGTTTACTGTCTAAAACCACTCATTTACAAATTAATGGTGGCTTATAAAATCTTTTCTACACAATAGAGAACATTATTCTTGGCTTAATGGCTTTTTGACTCCTATTTATATTATAATTATTATGGTGTCAGTTTGGATTGAAACAAATTTTGGGGCGTAGGTCCGTAAAGATGAATATTTCGCATAAAACACACTACAAATATAGTTTATGAACCTTTATTAAGAGGAGAAGGCTGCACTTAATCTGTTAGTCTAATCGGAATTATATATATATTGTAAATGGGAAATCTCGAACCCGATTTTTATATAATTATTGGATGGAAGCATCCTTCAAATCTCCATTTTGTCTTTAGCGGTAGTGGGGTGTAATTTGGAATGTAAAAATTATACTAATGACTTCGTAGGAGTCAAAGTTGATTTGAATTGGATTTTCTAATTATAAAATATTAAGAAATCGGAAAGTATAAATATGTAGATTTAGACATCAAATTATCCAATCTTAATAAAGGTATAATAATTGTCTGCTACATATCGTTGTGTATTTCTTTCAAGTCATTTTTAATTCCTCTTTTTTGTTTTTATCAATTTCTAAAATTGCACCCATTGTGTACATCCTTCTTCTGCTATTGTTTATAGAAACCGTGGCCATAGAAGTTACCAATTGCAAGGAAAGTGACACTCGCAGTCTAAAATTAGTCTTTGGTGCTCCAACAATATTTTTAAATATTTCATGAATTTCTCTTTAAAATTCCTTGGAGTGGTTTATCTTTTGTTGGTGGACATAATATGGGTAGCGATGTCCGCGAGATGAAAATTTGTATAAGAGTTAGGGGTGAGTTTCACTTGCCGTACAGTAATGGGGATCTCACAAAATTATACAGCAGTAATGTGATGAAAAATGACAATTCAAACAGGCTATAACATTTTTTATCACTTTTTTATGTACAGTTAGTGTATAATCTTTTTTTACATTAATAGATTTAGATCATATCACGTAACTTAAATTCAGATTTAAAATTCAAATTATACATATGTGAGCATATATTCAAAACTGATTGTGTCAAAAATCACTATATTATCAGTGTATAAAAACTTAATCTAATATTTTGACTTACGAAGTTTATGAAGTTGTGTTATGAGTTACGTGAACGAACTAGAGGTCAATTTAGACAGATGAGAGAGCATCACTTAAAATTACATTGGCAAGTTCAAGAACCAAATTGGAGCCTATAGAAGATGAGGAACGAAATAGAACCTTTGCCAGAAGTTCGGGGATACTATTAGTAATTTACCTAGAAATGGTCGTCCACTCTCATCGTTTACGCTTTCAAACAAAATAAATTCATAAGTAATGAAAAAGCCTGTTTGTCGAAATCGACTAATTTATGTTCCCAATCCTAAGATAATTTGAAAAAGCTAAAAGGGTCTTAGAATAAAAGGTCACTTGGTGACTGGGGTGGGGAGATCAACTGATCGAACTCAACTGAAGGATAAGCATTCCGTCGGCCTCTGTATTAGTCAAAGACGTCGTTAATTTACTACACGAGAAAGGAGAAAAATACTCGGGGAAAGCAGCAAGTGATGAAATAAATGGGCTTGTTTCAGAACTATCTTTGCTCCAGAAATTAGTGGAAGAAATTGACAAGGAACAACGAATTCATGATTGGTTGACAGAAGTAGAGAAAACCTGTTATGATGTGGAAGATATAGTGGTTGAAAACCAAAACAAGATTGCTGACTTTCTTTCTCTCAGAACCATCAAAAGGTGGTTTTTCTCTGACGTAGATGATGATTTTCCGGGGCAAATTTCCCTGCTTAGAAAAAGGATCAGACACCTGCTGGGAGTCGGGAAGCTTTTGTCACAGGGCCAGCAAAACAACAGGCCTCCCCTGCCTTTTGGTTCACTCTAGAAGAAGGATTCTATTGCTGTTGGATTAGTCAATGAGTTGGACTTCCTTTTGAATCGAAATCGGATTCTTTTTCCCCCAACGTAATTTCCGTGGTGGGCATTGGCGGCTTGGGGGAGACAACCTTTGTGAGGTGATTATATAACCATGAGTCATTGCGTCGCCATTTTAAAGCTTTGTGAGGTGATCATTGGGCACTTCGGCATAGCGCGACTTTGATCAATTATGGGGAGCTTTAGGTTCCATTCTTAAGCAGCTTGTACCGGCCGCCAACGAGATGTTGAGAAACTGTTCTATTATGGGCATCGCCGTCAACTTTCGCAGCCTACTGGCTTCTGCAAAATGCTTGGTGGTTATTGATGATTTGTGGTCACTAGATTACCTAGACTAGCTAAGCAGTTTTTTAGGAATTAGGGAAACAGCTAGTAAATTAGTAGCCACCACTCGGTTTCAGGAATTAGCAACATCCAATCCATCGATTGAACTTTTCAAGTTGAGGCACCTGACTGAAGAGGAAAGTTTGGAGCTCCTTGTTCGCAGAGTATGCGTGAATATCCCTGAAGGTCAGTCAGTTGTGTCCATTATCATTATTTTCGTAAATTCTTGCCGTCATTTTTTTGTTACGGAGACGTGCAATCGATTTTTTAGATGCTGCGAAGTTTAAATTTTTGACATTATTTATCTGAATGTGTTTGCATTTTAATGTACAACAAAAATGCGCTATCATACTTTTAGTTGTGGAAAAGATTCAAGTCTTTAATAACACAGTTCGGATTTTTCATTTGATACTTTCCCAAATTCAGTTAAGATTTTGTTGCTATATTTTTATCGTTGTGGATTTTGTGGCCATTTCTCAATGCATATTGTTTTATTTCTTCTAAATTTTTATTAGTTATTCTCATGTTCTTTCTTGTATTTCCTTTCATGGTGTTATTTATTTGCAGCAATAGCTAAATTTTTCGTTGTTTGATTTGGAAGATTATGTCTGTTTGAATTGACTTCTCCCCCTTTGCTAACAAATCCGCAGTTGCACGGGATGCTAGAATTTATTGTGAAAAGATGCAAAGGCATACCGTTGGCCATTAATGTGCTTGGAAGCTTGTTGGCAACAAAGCAGACATCAAATGAGTGGAAGGCAGCTCTTTGTGCTATGGAGTTGTGCAACGTCCATCAAGAAGATAGTTTGCAACTGTTAGAACTGGAAATTTTATCTTTATGTTATGACGACATGCCACACCATTTAAAGCTTTTGTTTCCTTTATTTGGGCCTCTTCTCTGAGCAACCAAGCATAGAGGTGGAAACACTGTGGATGGCTGAAGGCTTTGTACAACCGAGCAATGAAGAATCTACAATAACATTGATGGATGCAGCGAAGCAGTATCTGGATTAATTAGCAACCAGAGGTTTTGTTGAGGTTAATAAAGCTTTCGTTCCGAATAGCAGACGGTTCAAATCTTGTCGTCTGCATGGCATGATGTTAGACTTGTGTCTTCACAAGGCCAAACAAGAAATATTTTCCGAGGTCATAAGATCATGTCAGAGAAACGAAATCAACAAGTCTTCCACTCCATTCGGCAACATATGTAGACTTTCCATGAACATTGGTGGGGGTTATCAAAGTGAAGATGTAATGGCCGTCTTGCTGAAAAATGCTGACATGCATCTTGGTTATCTTAAGTCTCTTCTTCTCTTAAAATTACCCCGACGTTTGGAGTTTGTAGAATTTTTGGAGTCAATAAAGTTGAAGTTGTTCCTCTTGCTTAGAGTCTTAAGATTTGATGGTTTTGACCTACGAGAGAGCAAATTTGTTGGCGAAGTTGGGAAATTGACATCTCTGCGATACCTAAGCTTCAGAGATTGTCGCCTAAACAACCTGCCATTAAGTCTTGGTGAGTTGTTGTACTTGCAAACACTTGATTTGCGGGTAGTAATAGATCGGATGGTTACCACACCAAACATCATCTGGAAGTTAAAAAGGTTGCGGCATCTTTATTTGCCTTCCAAATTTAATGCTCGAGAGGATGATAAGTTGCGTCTGGATAGTTTGGTGAACTTGGAGACGCTTGAAAACTTTGATACCAGTGCATGCAGCACAACCGATCTTCTCTTCTTGACGAGTCTTCGAAGCCTAACAGCATCTGTTAAAGGGAATGCTAAGTCCCTGCAAGGCATCATCAAACGCATACATATGAACCAGAATTGCTTATGCCAAACCTCTATTCGAGTAAGATGTTTCGACGCATTTACTGTAGAAGAAAGGGATTTGTCAATGAGCCAGCTACTTGATTGTCCCTCCCTTCATACTTTGCAGATCAAGGGATGCATGAGCATACTACCACATATAATCTGTTACAGTCTCACTCGCATAGTTCTAAGCCGTTCTACACTTGTCAATGGTCCTATGGCAACTCTGGGGAGGTTTCCAAATTTATGGGACCTTGTTCTGGAAGACAGAGCTTTTCTGGGGAAACGGTTGACTTTTGCATCAGGGGGATTTGGTCAACTCAGACATCTTACACTCTCAAATTTGCCAAAGTTGGAGTTCTTGATTGAAGAAGAAGGATCAATGCCCAATCTTTGTACCTTGCAGGTCGAAGGATGTAACAACCTTAAAGAGCTTCCAATCAGACTTCAGGAATTGTAGGGTAAGAATTCTTTGCAACCATCAATGTTGAAACTTCATCCTCGTGAGGGCGCACCAACTTTGTATTGGAGTACGTGACACCAGATTGATATTGCATACTCAGGTCCTCCTGCTATACTCCTGAAGCTACACAAGGTAGCTTGTTGCCTACAGTCAAACAATGTTATACAGATAGTACGACGGATCTTCTGTCCTACTTTCTATGTCAGTTTCTGTCCTATTTTTTATTATATTACTATTTCTCTTTCATGAACATCATATTTTAGTTCTTTTTTATTTCCTTAAAATTCAATAACTATTAATTGAGTAATACACAAAATTTAACAAACTCAAAAAATCAAAATGCATAAAAATATTTTTTTTATGAACTTCTGTTGTATTTTTTTAATTTTCTATTATATATTACTTTTTTGAGATTATTGTATTTATTTCTTACTCAATTAATAGTTATTGAATTTTAAAAAAATTAAAAAGAACTAAAATATGATGTTTATGAAGGAGAAACAACAATATAATAAAAAGTGGTACAGGAAATGAGACACAAGCTCCGTTGCGAACAGATAATTAGCTAAAGTACATGCTCTTCCTTATTTTCTACTAGATTCGAAAGTCTAGTTAATTTGTAAATGTTCGTACTTCCCTGCCTTTGGCTGTAGAAAAGCAATTGCTACAGTTTGGAGTACAAGCCAAGCCTAATTAAGTCTATTAATTTGTTGGAGTAACGAATATCCTTTTGCTTTGAATTGAAATATTAGTTGGGAGATAACTGCTCCAGTATTTGCACTAGAGTGGACGTCATGACTAATTTAAAACGACGAGACTTCCAGATGTTTACCTTATTCAGCCTTGGACTTGAAGAAAAAATAGAACCAAGAAAGTTTGATTGGTGTTTTGTTGCTTGCCAAGGCGCTTATGAGAAGTTTGTTGACCTGCTGTTATAAGGATTATAGGTTGTGCAAAAATTTCCTAAAAAAGAATGTAGCCTGTGCAAAATCAAGATTTTTTTTTTTTTCATAAAGAGAACAAGTAACAGGAAGGAAATTTGTGTTCTATCTTTTCGTGTACAAACAAATTTGTGGATCTATATTTTTGTAACATCATTGCCATGCGACGTGGATCAATCCTCATATCTTATGAGTGCCCAGTACTGTGTATTCTGAAGTCATGGTAGCATCATCTCATCATTTTTTGACAGAATTACCACTGATGTATTAGCTTTCAAAGTTGCCAGTGCTTTGGAACACAAAATAATTCGGTGGTTCAAATTATATTGATTTGAATAATTTAGTGGCTGTTTCGATTTATTTTTTTTTTTGCCAATTTTTAAAGAAACAAGAGTTAAAAGAAGCAATTGTACTTCAATTGCATACATAGGTTGCAGTCTTAGCTTTGGCTCTTAGACAGTCACTTAATTGAAACTTATGCAAAATTTCTTCAATAGCGAGACTAATTTTACAGTCATGACTCATGAGATACAGCTGATTAAGCAGCTCGAAGTTCCAGCTCGTGGACATATTACCAAATGCCATACTAGACTGCATCAATGAAAACGTAAAAGTTTCCATAAAACCAAGAAACTCTTATGATCTCCTTACCTGAGAACCTTCTTTGGTTCACAATGACAAACTAGGAACAAAGCACTGGGAAATATAAGGCAGGAAAATTTTAAGGCAGGAAAGTTCTAAGGCTGAGTGTATCAGTAATAAGGGGTGGCTGCAGATGTACGCAGGGTAGCTCTGTTTGCCGAATTCGAGTAATATATGTTGCCACTGAATTCATCCATGTTCCATAAACCATCCCAGTTAATGTCCTGATCATGATTTGTTGCTTCTGGCAGAGCTGCGGAATTGTTGAACACTGAGTAGAGGAAGACTTGATGATGATCATCAATTGTATTGGGAAAGATAGGAGTTGCTGCTGCTGATGCATCTTGTTTCATCTGAGGCAGAGTTGGCACTCTGTTCTCATTTTCATCCAGTAACGACATAAGCCTCCTCATGTCAAATACTTGAGTTTGTTGTTGCTGCTGCTGTTGCTGCTGCAGCAGCTGTTGCTGCTGAAATTGTTGCCTTCTCAGAAGGCGTGCTTTTGATTTTTCTGAGTTATCAGACGAGACTTTTGCCTTTTTCTTGAAATGAGTCCTCCAGTAGTTCTTGATTTCATTGTCTGTTCTTCCTGGCAGGCTTCTAGCAATTGTCGACCACCTATATTTGTCAAGGATAGCCCACAAAATCAGCTGCTTATCCTAGACAATCTTCTTATGAAATTTCATTTCAAAAGCTTGTTATATCCAAATCCTCACCTGTTTCCCCACCTAGCATGGAGCTCTAGAATTACTTTTTCTTCATGAGGGGTTATTTGGCCCCTCTTGAGATCTGGCCTCAAGTAATTCACCCACCTCAATCTACAGCTTTTCCCATTTCTTTTCAATCCTGAACAGAACACCAAAATCAACCATCATCTGGTCATAAGCAGTGCTCTTCCAATCGCAACACTCCCATGTATATGCATGCAAAATAAAATACCAAGAATGAAGAATTCTAGCTTTACCCAAGTGGGATTTGACATGCATTAAAAATGCCAAAAAGACAGCAGGTTACAAGATTCTAGTTGGTGAAAAGTCGGTGAAGTACACAATACTAATAGAATTAGTAAGCAGGCAAGTTGCTTAGTATATTAGTTACCTGCAAGTCTAGCCACAGAGTTCCATCTGCCTTCACCATGCAACTTGACATATTCAATGAGTAATCTGTCTTCTTCAGCAGTCCAAGGACCCTTTCTCCACCCTTCCTCCATCACACCCCAAGCCAATTGTTCTGCTGCCATCACTTCCCAAGACATGAAAAGCAAAAGCTAAAAAGGCTCTTGTTTAGTAGCTGTATTAGGTGTTCAGTTTGTCCTCAAAATTCTGTGACACAATGTGCTAGTGTTCGTTACACACATATATATATATATATATCTGCACTTTGAACTATGATTCATCCCATCAGTCAGTCATCATGTCCTTTTCAAATCATCACTACTATCCCTCCGTCCTCGAGTGAGTAAGCCAAAGATGATCTCTGTCATGCCAATTTTATCAGCTAAAGTTACCAAACTGCCCTCATCCATTCCTGTTTGATGAGCATTATGATGTTTCCAAGTTTAGTCTTTAAACGTGCTCTGGTAACGTGTCAATAGCACTGTTCCAAAGCCCAGGTCAAGAAGATTAGCCAGGTGACTGTAAAATCCTTGTTTTCACTCCGAAGTCACCCTTATTCCTTATTTTCTTGTGAAAGAAAGGGGGAAAAAAATAAAAACGAGTGCCAATAGCACTCTGATTAATAAAAATCGTTGATCAAATTTGATTAGGGTAATTGGGAATTTGTTTGACAAGGGGTGGTCTAAAACTTGCCAATCTATTTGGTGACAAGATTGCATTTCAAGAAAATCAGAGGAGTATATTTGTTGATGTTAAATATTCTTAAAGGATGTACTCAAATTGGCAAAATCAATGGCCACGTGTTGCCTAGGCCTTATAGATTTAGACACAAGGAAAGCCAGCCACAAAGCATTGTGTTTCTAATCCTAATAAAATTAAAAAATACGTGGGTGGATAATTCTTTAAGCTTGAAAGTTACTGGAGTCTCAATGGATGCGAAACAAGTGTGCGATTTGCTTACTTCTTAAGGAGATAGATGCATGAAAATCACCATCATATCTCGATTTTTTTAACTTTGTTGGATGCCATTTTAGGCTTTTAGCACATAAGATAGTCGAGTAACTATTGTCCTAGGACGTCACAAAGGGAACAGGTGGTGGTTGTGTGATGATTTTGGGGGAAGTGCTTTGGTGAGTAATGAAAATTACAAACACAAAAAATCTCTACAACATTTTTTTTTCAAAAAAAAAATAAAGAGAAAAGCCTAGACGAACAATGGAGTTTATGAAGTGTGTAAAACTTCCTTTAAAAAAAAATAAAGTGAGATAAAAACTAGTTATGATCAATGGCAAGAGGGAATGTCTAAATCAATGACCCTCCACTTTAAATTCACATCCCCCGATTTTAATTTTAGAACCACAATAAGTATAATTCTTAAAGTTTGTGGTGTAAATATTTTAATGCATGAAATTTGTGAATTTAGAAGGGTATGGTTTGGATTAATCCCGTGTGTATAACACCATGAGTTGATAAATTCTCCAATGAAGTTTTTTTATAAAATCCTAGTGGCTTTGTCTAATTCTCAACGCTAATAAAGGCCCTAATTGCAAAATCTAAAGCAGCTGATTCTAGCCCCTACAAATCAATTAGAACTGCATTTTTTTTTTTTTGGTTTTATAAATCAATTGGATCTTCACGCTGAACTGTTCATTCATAGGTCAAAAATATCATTATTGGATTCCTAACATATAGTTATAGTTTTGCTAATTACATTTTACACCCTCAAATTTATAGTAATTGACATGTCGCATCTCTAACAATTATATTAGAACTATTAGACGGCGATACAGTAACATTGTCCTTATGTTACCAAATTGCCACCGGCCTTGATCTTTTTAATAACAAAAGTATGTTTAATAAAGCTAACCAAAAAATTATTCAATAAAGTGATCATTTTTTCTTCACTCTACCCTTTTAATTAACTATAATTAAGTACAGAGTGTTTAGCTTTTTATGTTCATTATTCGGCGCGAGATATAATTGAATCCAGTTAATGATATTTTTAATAAAGGCATCACAGCAAATCCTCTGCTGTACGGTAAGATCGAAAAGGATGACATGCAAAAACACTACTTTTCAGTAGCAAAGCGCGTTGAAGAATAAGTTAATGGTTTCACTTCTTGTCTAAAAAGTTGGGAGTTCTATTAAAAGCCGAAGGAACTTTACGTTTTGTTAAGTGGTTTTATTCTCAGATCTTTTGCATAATTTATATTTTAACCCACTCTGGCTGTCATTTCTGAGGTGATTTGGATAAGAGCTTGGAGATTGCGGAGAGAGACGGCCTATCTTAAACAACTAC